ACTCAACCCATAGCACCTCAATTCTACTCTATTTTCTTACCTTTTATAGTGGTCATCCTTTTTATATTAAGGTAAGAACATAACTTGTACTGTCCATAATTCTGTTCTCTCTCTATAAACATTAGCACCTGAAAGCCCACAAGGAGAAAGGTCGACCGAGGAGCAAAAGCTGATGAGATAGCAGGGGTTTCTGCAATGCTTTGTGAAATAACTAAAGGATAACTAAATCCTTTGTAACTAGTAATAACTAGTACCTTTGTGAGTGCTGTAGAGGGCTGCAAATGTCACCATAAAGAAGGTGGTGGAGTATTTGCCAGCATTAACCAGATGAGGAAAGGCCCGTTTGGTGTCACGGTAACGGCGCAGGCACTGGATAAAACGCAACCAAGCAGGGATGCACTGGACAACTGCTCGCACTCCGTAGGAGTAGCTGTTGCAAATCTGATCATCTAGAAGAAAAAAAGATGCGTCAGTAGACATGGAAACAAATTACTCGATTCTTCTCTCATTCCCTTCTAAATGTCTCACTACCTCTATCTAAATGAGTGATCCTAAGGTATTGGAAGCAGGAAATGTAATAGGCTAAGCAGTGTTGCATTTGCACATATGTTTAGAATCTCAATATTTTCAATCCCAGCACTGCGTTCAATAAAGACAGATTCTATTTTTGAACACAATTGTCTTTTATTTTGTACATCAGGAAGGGGGACTAGGGAAGGGTAAGTGGAAGGAGGTGAGGGAGGAATGGGGCACGAGCCCCCGATGGGGAGGACTGGGCTGGCTCTGCGGGCTTCTGGGGGTGGAAGCTCTCCTGCAGCCCCCCAATTGCTCCCTCTCCCCAGATGGCAGCCTGTGGCAAGTGCAGCCGGTCTGACGGCCGAGTGCTGTGATGTGCCCAGTGTGGGTACTCCGGGAAATCCAAGCCAGGACTGCTTTGCAAGCGGAGCACCCCTGGGAACTGTCTGTCCGGAGTGGGGGTCGGGTAGCCTGAGACAGCAGCTCCACACTCTAAGTCCTCCTCTGATGCCCTGCCGGCACTGCTTCCGGCCATCCTTAAGCCAGGTTCGGGGTCCACTTAATGTGGACATGCTAGTTCGAATTAGCAAAACGCTAATTCGAACTAGTTTTTTAGTCTGGATCCGTTAGTTCCAATTAGCTTAGTTCGAATTAACTAATTCGAACTAAGTTAGTTCGAATTAACGTTGTAGTGTAGACATACCCTTAGATAGCTAGCCTACCCTGAACCTCATGCTGCTGCGGGCTCATTAATATCCATGTTCACGCTAGCACCAGTGAAGCTAGCTTGGGTACGGCTATCAAAGATGGAGTCATACCTCCAACTGCTGTGCAGCCCTACCCATAGTGACACTTGAATCACAGAAACACACGGTAATTAACCAAACAAAATACTTAATGTAAAAAAGCAGGTCATTATGACATGGAAGATTAAGTACTTTTCATTACTGAAATTACAGACCTCACAGTTATGCTACTCATCCACAGATCCTTAGGCTAATTATGAGACACATGCTTAATGGCTAGTGTCATAACACACACAAGCTAGGTCAATACCTAAGTCTGCCCCATTCTGTAGTTATCAGAGAAGGAGATTAAGCAATTCTGGATTCAGTGGTATTTCTCCAGATGACAACATTGGAACAGGCTTAGTTATGTAATGTTTATAATCCTAAAATAAAAGCAACTGTTTAAAATGAGCACAAGGCAATTTAGAACAGTGAGAACATCTTGGGTAAAAGCTCATTTACATCACTTGATAGGGAGGAGAAATAATTATTTCAAACACACTATTAGGAAGAGACAAAGAGAGGCTGTGAAGTTGAAAGTTAGTCTACAGCTTCTGAATCTCCAGTGGGAATTCCAGCCAGCTGAAGACATACATTGGAATATACATATTGATCTGCTCAGTTCTTATTTGTTCAAGAGACAAAATGATAGGAGGCAAAGGAGACTTATTTAGGATGCATACAATAGCTGCATGGATTAATAAATGTAAAAGACACATGAAGGCATCTAGTTCACTCGCTTGCTAACTCTAGATTTTTTGCCTACAATGTATTTTCTAGTGTTTTGTTGGCCTATTTTTAAATGGCTTCTATAGTTTCTCTTGCAGAAATATAAAGAGAGGTCTCATAGCTAACATTGTTTCTCCCTGATACTCAGCCATTTTCTTCTGTTTTAATTTCATTCAACTACTCTTAGGCCACGTCTATAATTATTTATGGATAGCAAGTCTAGGAAGGACCCCCTAAATTGAATGCTTAGGGTGCCCCCATCAATGCTGGTACTCCTACTCCTAACAATGAGTAAAGGAAGTCAACAGGAGCATTTCTCCCATCAACCTCCCACTGTGGGGATAATGTGAAAGTTCATAAGAACATAAGAATGGCCATACTGGGTCAGACCAAAGGTCCATCCAGCCCAGTATCATGTCTGCTGACAGTGGCCAATGCCAGGTGCCCCAGAGGGAGTGAACCAAACAGGTAATGATCAAGTGATCTCTCTCCTGCCATCCATCTCCACCCTCTGACAAACAGAGGCTAGAGACACCATTCCTTACCCATCCTGGCTAATAGCCATTTATGGACTTAACCTCCATGAATTTATCTAGTTCTGTTTTAAACCCTGTTTTAGTCCTAGACTTCATAGCCTCCTCAGGCAAGGAGTTCCACAGGTTGACTGTGCACTGTGTGAAGAAGAACATCCTTTTATTTGTTTTAAACCTGCTGCCCATTAATTTCATTTGGTGGCCCCTAGTTTTTAATATTATGGGAACAAGTAAATAACTTTTCCTTATTCACTTTCTCCACACCACTCATGATTTTATAGACCTCTATCATATCCCCCTTTAGTCTCCTCTTTTCCAATCTGAAAAGTCCTAGTCTCTTTAATCTCTCCTCATATGGGACCCGTTCCAAACCCTGTTTCAAATTAAGGTACATCGACTCCAGCTACACATTCAACATAGCTTGAGTTGCATATCTTAATTCAAATTTATCCCCCCAGTGCAGACCTGGACTTAGTTGCTCATCCTTATACCATTATCAAACAAGCAATTCCTTTGTTTTCTGGTTAATTACAGCTTCCAAATAGACAGAGGGATTGCACTGCAACAGGGCATCCAAGAAGGAATCACTGTTTTCAGAGCAGTCATTTTGTTTCCCTTGCAATGGATGCAGACTGTGAGTGAAAAATAAAATGGGAATGTCTCCATCTCTCCTTGGCACACCCATGTAGGTCCAAGCACAAACTCAATTTAAATCTACACGGGGCCAGCTTCCACTCCCCTTACTCACATAAAGCAATTCCTTGCTCCATGAATCAACCTATTGAAATAGGGCCAATCTATTGAAAGTGGGACCACTTGCAAAGAACGGAAAAGAATCAGGTCCCCTAAGAGCAAAAATAATGCTGGTTGAAGTTATGTTACTAGAAAGAGCCAATGATGAATCAAATAGTTCTTTTTAACAGACCCTGTATTATTCATGAACTCGAAATAAAACAAATTCAATACCAGCTTGAAGCGTTGGGACACTTCCAAGTCTTACAGCATGACTGGTGTCACTTGGGAATGAAAGCTTTGATGGTTCAGGTGGCACAATACAGGAAAACATCTCACGTTTCCCAATCCTTGGGGGGAAATTATGTGTATGAGCTGAGAATGCTCCCTGCACTCTGATCTTGCAGGTGAAAAGGATACTCCTGAAGGGTACTCTGATACGTGGTGTTGTTTTTGTTGACCGGTCAATAGGAAACATGTAGGGGTTGCAGTAGTCTGTCACACAAGGGACTGCCTAGACTAACCTCTGCCTCAGAAACATGCAACATCACAGCACAAAACAGAAATCACCTCAATATGAGGAGAAAAAAGTAGAATAATAGAATCCTAGGGCTGGAAGAGACCTCAGGAGGCCATCGAGTTCGACCACCTGCCCAAAGCAGGACCAACCCCAACTAAATCATCTTAGCCAGGGCTTTGTCCTCCTGGAACTTAAAAATCTCCAGGATGGAGATTCTACCACCTCCCTAGGTAACCCATTCCAGTGCGTCACCACCCTTCTAGTGAAATCGTTTTTTCTAATATCCAACCTAGACCTCCCCACTGCAACTTGGGACCTTTGCTATTCGTTTTGCCATCTGTCACTACTGAGAACAGCCTCTCTCATCCTCTTTGGAACCTCCCTTTAGGAAGCTGAAGGCTGCTATCAAATCCCCCCTCATTCTTCTCTTCTGCAGACTAAACAAGCCCAAATCCCTCAGCCTCTCCTCATAAGTCATGTGCTCCAGCCCCTAATCATCTTTTGTTGCCCTCCACTGGACCCTCTCCAATGGATCCACATCCTTTCTGTGACGGGGGGTCCCAGACTTGGATATAATACTCCAGATGTGGCATCACCGGTGCCCAATAAAAGGGAATAATCACTTCTCTGGATCTGCTGGCAATGTTCCTCCTAATGCACCCTACTATGCCATTAGCATTCTTGGCTACAAGGGCACACATACCCAGCTTCTTATCCACTGTAATCCCCAAGTCCTTTTCTGCCAAACTGCTGCTTATCCAGTCAGTCCCCAGCCTATAACAGTGCTTCAGATTCTTCTGTGCCAAGTGCAAGATTCTGCACTTGTCCTTGTTGAACTTCATCAGTTTCTTTTGTTCCAGTCCTCCAATTTGTCTAAATCACTCTGGACCCTACCCCTGCCCTCCAATGTATCTATCTCTCCCCCTAGCTTAGTGTCATCCATAAACTTGCAGAGGGTGCAATCGACCCTCATCCAGGTCATTAATAAAGGTGGTGAACAAAACCAGCCCTAGAACCGACCCTTGAGGCATTCCGCTTGATACCAACCCCCAAACAGACTTTGAGTCGTTGATCACTACCCATTGGGCATGACAATCTAGCCAGTTTTCTATCCACCTTATAGTCCCTTTATCCAATCCATACTTCCCTAACTTGCTGGCAAGAATACTGTGAGAGGCCGTATCAAAAGCTTTGCTAAAGTCCAGGTTTATCATGTCACAGAGCCAGTTATCTTGTCAGAGAAAGCGATCAGGTTGGTCAAGCATGACTTGCCCTTGTGAATTCATGTTGACTTTTTCTGATCATTTTTCTCTCTTCCAAATTCTTCAAAATGGATTTCTTGAGGATCTCCTCCATGATTTTTCTGACAACTGAGGTGAGGCAGACCAGTCTGTAGATCCCTGGATTGTCCTTCTTCCCTTTTTTTAAAGATGGGCACTACATCTCAGTAGAAGAAACAAGAAAAAAATGTTTACAATGATACATGTAGACTAATTTTTTAAACCTGCCTTTTAACTGTACCAGAAATAGCATGGCCTTTTCCCCCCTTAGCGGGTCTCGTTAGTATGTTGTCAAGGGACCAGAAGCAGGAAGGCAATGAATGCCCTCTTCTCCAAAGCCACAGGTATAAGTTCCCAAAGAAAAGGATAGCAATCACTAGCCTCTCCAAATGTCCAATGAAAGATCATTAGCAATTAGCCCACAGCAATCTCAATTTTAATCTAGGTAGGGGAGCCAACAAGAGAAATCTCAGTCTCCAAGAACATGTATTAGTCCGATCATTCTGACGCCCCTCTAGGCTTATTTCAATATCATCCATTCCTGATAATGTTTTTATGGATCAAAATGATCTTCTGCCACCTCTGACCTAGCAAATCCACATGACTAAGCATAACACCCACTGGAAAGTCTAAGGAGATTGAATAGTATGACCTGCTGTCAGTGGTAGCCCGTCAATACAGGCGAACGAGGCGGTCACCTAGGGTGCCAAGATAAATGGCCGTTGAGGGCTTTGGAAGCGGGGATGCTGATCGCGCACCGATCGCGCATTTTGCCTAGGGCGCCAGTTGCTGGCAGCTTGTCTAGGGCTGCTCCTGCCTGCTGTGATGACAAAACCCGTATCTCCTTGTTTAAGGTAATAAGAAACATTAGAGTTGTTTCAGGAGACGGACTTACACTGCATAAGACAGCTGAGGCACAGAAAAGGCAAAAAGGCCTGACCTCATCAAATGTAAAGATCACATAAGGTGATCCTTTCAGTAGCTAAAATCCAGGTCTACATGCATATCCCCAGCCAAAACTCCAGATCTTGGTCTGGTCTTGGTCTTACCTGCTTTGGAACTGGGCTAAAAACAACTGAGACAAAACAAGATCACCGTGCATAATTCTCTGTGATGATGATATTCACAACACTTTCCTCTTCTTTACTGCTAGGATAATGGGTTACGGATTTCCAGTTACTTCAGTGAGAGTTTGCCTGTTTAGTGACTAAGTAAAAACAGAGTAAGGATTCAGTTCATGAGATATAAGATTGTGAGCATGCAACACACACACCCCTTCACACTCCTAGGCAAGGACCCAAACTAGGTCTAGTCACATAGGAATAAGCAGGTGCTTCACCACCCTTATGCAAGGAGGTAGGAAATGGCAGGAAACAGTCACAACTTTGGCTTCACCTTCCCACTAGCTGGCCATGAGAGCTGAGCCAGTACTGGAGGAGATATGAATGAATGAATGAGTGATGTTTGAGGGAAGCATGTAGCCCACCTCTTCTTCATATGGTTTTTTTTTCAATTCCCTTCCTCCAACCATAAGCCCAGACAACATATTATTCCTTACTAGGGCTGGCTGGAAAAAATGTTAGCAGAAAACTGAATTTTCATCTGATTTTTTTAAAAAGAAAACATCTACTTTTTATATTAGAAATTGAAAGTCACCACTAACAGATCTTTTAAAGCCAAATCCCCAACATTCTTTGACCTCCCCCCCCCCCCCCGCCCCAACAACCAAAACAGATAATGACCAAAAATCAATTACATTTAGGTCAAAAATTGGAGGCAAAACCCTTCCATTTTTTCAATAACTAATCAAAAATGTTGTGAGGAAATAAAAAACAAACTGCTTTCCAACCAGCTGTAACATGCGCCTTACACTCCGAAACTTGAGTACATTCTTGGAAATCATCCAAACTAGTACAAAAATGTACAACTTAACCTAAAGTCAAGAACTGAGAAAAGAAAAAAAACATTTCCTACAAACTCATTGGCCTTATAGCATCTTCCCTTGACCATTTAGCCAGAGATGGGCAATAAAATGGTGGCAACACAGATAAATATAGTGGCAGCAGCCTGCCAGCGGCTAGCTCTGGGGAACCAGATCCAGCCCACGGCTGGTATTTGTCCATCCCCATCTTAAACAGAGCATTAAAATGAAGGAAAAGGAAGGGGAAGATTGCAATTGGTTGTGGTTAATAGTACAACTGATTTTTCTCAAGTTCATGATCAGTACAGACACTGAGCTGTTCTATGAGGCATTCCTTTACGGGGGAGCACCTGCTAACAGCAAACAAAGCAGCAAAAGCAGCAGAAAAAACAATAGGTTGCTCCTCGCACTAGGTTGGGTTACAAATCTAGAAGAGCCAGTAAAGTCTGTGGGGATCTAGCAGGGATCATGCTAGTGATTTGCATCCTTTTTTGGAATTTCCCAATTTCCAGCATCAGTATTACTCAGACACGTATGGCTAAGCTACATAGGTTCACGCCACATATCAAGAGCTAGTCTCATATCCTGTACCGATAAGGTAGGGGAACTTTAACAATAATTACACGCCAAAAAAAATGTTAAAAGAATATGACTGAAGGTTGCAGAGTAAAGCATTTGAAAGTTAGGAAATGCCCCATTAACAGTTGCTTGTGCAACTGTAATCCTGCTCCCTTGTGCATCCAGCTCTGCGCACGGAGCCAGGAAATACTGATGAAACATAACTGCATACCTCAGATGAATGGTGATGCTCTGGCAAGTTCTGTAGCCAAATGCCTTTCGTGCCAAAGAAGTGATACTTCTTCAGACAATTACACTCTACTGAATGCATTTGTCCATGTGGAAAACAGTATACTAACTGGCTTATTGTAATAGCACTGATAAAGCAAAATAGTTCCAAGTTCTCGATTATTGTTCCATAATCCAAGGGGCTGGGACCTCCATCAATCAATCCTGTCCAGTTGGAAGTGTTGACAGATGTCATTTTCCTGTGATTCTCCCATTCCTACTTCCCACCCAGCAGGTGAAACAAAGGCTCAGGCCTAGTCTATAGGCAAAGGTTGCACTGATATTGTCTAAACAAAGGGTCTTTCTCCATGTACAGTACATGCAATAACACTTTGTTGTAGCTAAAAGCAGACAGTACTATAGGTAAATCATTAACATTCATTAGCAGCTCCCAGAAGAAGCTGCTTTCCTGTTTGATCCAATGTGTATCTTGCCCTCTGCACTCTCCTGATGCATTACAGCTGTAGTTATGTGGTTCACTTTACAGCTACATCACAGTATAAACTACCCTCCCACGTGCATATTTAGAAACAAAGTCCCTTCACCCCATTTAAAACAAAGTTTAAAAATAAAAACCTGTTTAAAGTCAAAGTTTTTGGGGAAAAAGCTAAATATCTTCCAAGATGTTTAAAAAATTAACTCAGCACTGCAGTTTCCTGCATCACTTCCAAAGCCGTCTAAATGGAGGAGGAAGTTACTAAACCTAGGCTATGTATACACTGTAGTGCTTCAGTATAAACTGTTTCTATAGCAACAGGAGAGGGTTTCCTGGCACCATCATAAATCCTAGTCCCAAGAGGCAATAGTTAGGTCAACGGAAGAATTCTTCCTTCAACCTACCACTGGCTACACGGGACTTAGGTCAGCTTAACTACATCACTCAGGATGTTGGTTTTTCACACTCCTGAGCAATGTAGATGGATCAATCTAATTTTCTGGCATGGACGAGACCTTAAACTCCAAGCAGCCCCTTCAGTTAAGTAGCAAAACCCCATCTGTCAGGAGGAAGTTGGTGGTGCATGTAAGAAAGCATTCTCTCTGCATGCATTTAAACCCTCTGGCTGTGACTACACTGGCATGAATTTCCGGAAATGCTTAAAACAGAATAGTTTTCGTTATAAGTATTTCCGCAAAAAGAGCGTCTACACTGGCAGGCTGCTTTTCCGGAAAAGCGTCCGTGGCCAATGCAGACGCGCTTTTCCGGAAAAGAGCCCCGATCGTCATTTCCGTGATCGGGGCTTTTTTCCGGAAAAGACTACTGGGCTGTCTACACTGGCCCTTTTCCGGAACAGTGTTCCGGAATAAGGACTTATGCCCGAGCGGGAGCAGAATAGTTTTTCCGGAATAGCGGCTGATTTTGTACAGTAGAGCATCGTTGCTTTTCCGGAAATTCAAGGGCCAGTGTAGACAGCTCGCAGCTTATTCCAGAAAAGCGGCTGATTTTCTGGAATAAGTGGACCAGTGTAGACACAGCCTCTATGTTTGAAATAGGGAGGGGCCAGCTCATTCAGCTCACAGACGACCCACACAAAGCTTTTCCAACGCTCACGCCAAACCCCCAAAATCCAAACTATTCTTTCCAGTTCCAAGATGTTCATCTGACTTTGTTTAATCCCCCTGTACCACCTTTGGAGGGAGTCAACATCCTGGTCCTGTCTGAATCAAACCCATCTTCAGAAGCAGGAGCCATTCATGGCTTTCTCTCCATCTCTTCACTGGTATTGGGCCCACTGCTCTGGTTTTCACACTTGTCCAGCTCCTTTCATTTCAGTGGTATTACTCCTGACTTATCCTAGGGACATGAGAGAAGAATCCAGCCTGTCGCGTATTCTCAGCAAACTAGATTCCCTTAGTGCCGAGCCTCTCAGGCAACTTGTGAGGGAGGGTAAATGTCATAAGCAGGTGACAGCCCTGCCAGCAGGAGTTTTGCTACTGATCTCAATGGGCGCAAGGCCGAGCCCTGAGGTCAGTGCCTTGCCTCTGAGGCAGAGAGCGTGCATGAGACACACTTCAAAGTTACAGCTCAACTGGACCAGGAAGTCCTTTCCCAACCACAAATTTTTAGCCTCGATAAAAAAAGATTTCAGAGTGTGTTATTTAAAACAGATTGAGTTTCATGTCCCTTATTTGATAATTAACTGGGATAAAAAGCACCAGCCTTAAATTCAGCTTAATCTGGGAGCCTGGGGAACTCTGGGGAAAGCTATCAATGGTGAGTTGCATAAAAAGATACAAACCTTAAATAAACCTGATGCAGAAACCGTAGCATTAACCACGGGGCCGTTCTTGGCACATCAAAGCACTCTGGACTGTAATATCCCTGCAGCCAGGTTGTCTGCAGAGGGCTCTCAACTTTGGATCTTATTCTGTCCCTCTCCCATGGCCTTCCTCAGTTCTGCAATATGTGCCCCTCAAAGAACCAGTTCAAGATGTAGACATTTTCCTTGCCAGGTCTACAATTCCTTCTAACTGCTGGAGTTAGTGTAATTATCTAGTGAGTTTGAATGTGACTCTCAGAGCTACCCTTGGAGTAGTGTAGCTGATCTACTACTTCTTGCTTAGAACTGTGCTTATAAAGCACAATCTATCTCAGAAGCTCTACTTAAATGCAAGCCTTTATACAGCACCATCTTAGCACCTCTGCCAGCCAGCTCCAAATAATTGCCGCTGGAACAAACGCTAAGTGGAATCTAGGAAATGCGTGGTAAGTATACTGGATAATAAACACAGACATTTTATAAACTAAGAAATTTTACTAAAATGTGATTCCACCTCTAAAAAAAACATAGGAGGGATATGTCCGCAGTTTTAATGTTATTTGGCAGGTGCTGCAGAGAGAATCAACTAGCAATTCAGGGGGAAGCATGTGAAATTAAAGGAGTCATCTTTTGAGAGAAATTTTAAAATGTAAGTCAGAAGATACAGTAAGAATGCTGACTATTGAGGAGATACAGTAAGAGTGCTGACTATCCCTGTTATTTAGGACAGAATCCAGTTCTAATAATCACATTCTGTCTGCTTAAATTCCTTGTTCAGCGGGAGACAGAACTCATTTTCATTTTTTGTGCTAGAGTGATGGGTAGCCTTGTAGTACAATGTTCAAATAGTGACTATGTTCCATCCATGAAGCTGTTCCATTTCAGTTATGGATGAATGGTTTTTGATATAGCCCTTACCAACCACACATACTTGTTGGGTGGTTTCACTTTTTAATTAATGTATGTACAGTGTTCATCTTATTGACTGGCACTATTGTTAGGGCTACATATTACTGTTATGACATCCAATCCAAGTACAATTATCAGGCTGAATTTTTACCTTACAGTTCTCTTGTGACACAGACCACCCAGTTATGCTTTACTCCCCTAGTTCATGTTCCTTCTCATCCACATGAAGTGCTCGGCTTCTTTGCCCCTATTAATTATAATATGATGTGAACT